ACGAATGTTATTTCTACTGCGGAACGATAGAACATGAGCAGTTCATCTAGTATGCACTAATGAAAATTCCATCATGATTAGCAATTTCTTCCCCAAATCTAAGCTATAGCTGAATCAAAGCTGAACGTGGTCAAGGCAAAAATACACCGATGCTACATTGACCACCGATGGTAAACTTGGTCCCAGTAAAAGTAATGGTAATGCTTTCATTAGTTGACTAAATTTGAACGACTCAGAGTATCAGTTTTGTTGAAAAGCTTGTTCAAAAGTTGGGACACGCTCGTACATCGTCATTTGTTTGACCCTCAGCGAAGAGTGCAAAACTTGTTTGCCATAATCGAGTAAACTCCTTATAATTTTCACTTAAATTGCAATCTGTAATATGTATGTGGTAAGATGCGTAAACATTTATTTGAATTAGAGTCATGCAAGGACGCTTTACTTTCTTCTCAGTTCAGCTTTATAGTTAGAACACAATTAGAGTTCCAAGTGACCATCAGTTATGGCAACTCCATCCATGTAACTGATATCATTTTACTTAACACAGTCACAGCTCAAAAATAAATATAACACAGCAAAATTCATGTCAACTTTTCAAACCCAAAAGCTCAAAATTTGAACATTCTGGCGAAGAAAATCTAAGACAACACTGGTTTCATTTTCAAGCTAGCGTGAATGAGCAAAATTGCCACGCACATCTCCATCCGTTTAATGGCACATCTCTCACTGATGTAGAACCACGCCCTTTTTACAGAAACTGGATTATTGCATGAGTGCACCGTGAGGCACGTGAAACATTCAGAATGACAAGATACACAAGCAAACAGTTAACGTTTCATGAATGCTGACTCTCACGCAACCATGAATACAGCGTGCATGTTCGACATGCAGGTTATGTTATCCCAAGTCAATACGCGATTCATATGTCTCTGAGGAGTGATCACAAACATGATCTACATTTTATGAGGTAAAATAAATACATTTATTATTACATATTATAAGTTATAAAATCGAAGGCTATAATTATTATTCATGCAAAAATTAAAAAAGGTTCCTCCTTTGTTTGCTATAAGCAGGATACAGATTAGGTTAGATCAAAATGATTGGTTATCAACATGGTGCAATAGTCATTACCGAGAATGGTAAAACGAGTTGCATTCCCTGTAATATCTATAAAAATGCCCAAAACTTAATTTTGAATGACTATTTTTTAGTCCACAAGATGATTCAATGACTGAGGGAATTGCCGGTTTTTATATCTGGAGCTCAAGTCAGTAAACTTTTGTGTTTTGTGTTCTATTTCCCAAATCATCAAATAATTATAGATACAGAGCTTGGCATTCATAATGAAAAATTACCTTTTCAGCTTCAAACTATCCTCATATATCATCGATGTTAAAAAGTTGCTGAGAAATGTGAAACAAACTTTTCCCAGCGAAACCATCCATTTCCGTTTCCCCATTTCCCAAGATGCTGTTTGTGAACTGGAAAGTTATTACACGCCTCAATGCCGCCCTAGTTTAATGTATAGATTCGGAGGTTCACCAGTCCGAATTTAGGTAATATTACATCCCAATACAGAGCAATCCCCAATAACTGATCAATCGAACCTTTTCAAAAGTGAGAACCAAAAATGACTGATTTACTTTTAACCGTAAAATTCGGATTTCTGTCTGCCTTCATTTCACTACATTGCGAGGAGCTTCAAACTGCATACAAGAAAACGCGATAGTACTAATTGAGTGGCGCCATTCCCAAATACTGGGACAGATTAGCCATTCATTCTTTTTTTCCCTTTCCACGACTTCCATGCACGCAAACCTCATGACTCGATGAATGAATTACTTACTGACATGCCGCCTATTCCATACGGTTGTGTTTAACTCATATTTTTCCGTCTTCGTTGGAACGCATCTCATAACCATATGTTTCATTTGACAATGAGGAGTCTCATGCAGAAGCTGCTCAACGAATTCATGTCTGGCATTGTATTCTTGATGGCGGTGGTACGCCCAAACACGATGAATCGAACTAGGTGTTTTCGGACACACGATTTCTAGAAATATGGCGCCAGTGTGATGCAGTACCTTAGTATCTTGATGCCTTTGTAGGTCTCGGCCGAAAATCGCCTACTCGTTCCATGGAGAACTTTACTAAAGCGTAGCGAAATACTAAATTCGCACCTATAAACATCCATCGGAATTTTATTTGGATGGTATGAGATACAAATGAAGTTCGTTCAAAAAACGAGAGCAATTATAATAAAATTATCAAAATAAAATGTGGCAATACGTGGCAGTGAGACACATTTTGTGGTGTAAAAATTGTTTGCTGGATTGAACGCAACTTCTGTCAATCAAAAATGTTTTTTCTCACACGTTTGTTGATTAACAAGTTAATACACCAAAGCATAGGTATTCCCAACGGTAAATACTTTGCTCTTATAAAAAGGTGATGACTATCGATTTTGAAACAGGCACGTTTTGTTTAATAAGCACATACCTGTGAACTTAGACTATCGTTTGTCAAACCGTCTCTGGCGATCAGAGTCAGTTTGTAGCTTTTCGGACGTGGTGGACGTCGCATTGCGCACAAAACATTCGGAGCTTCTGGCATCAGTGCAAACAGACCATCATGGTCATCCAGTAGTTCGAGAATGCAACAATCAAAGTTGTTCTCCGGTGTCATATCCTTGTCTGTTACGCGATGGGGAAGTCGTTCACACACTGGACTGGGGTTCTGAGCAAATAGTTTTCGCGCTCGTGATTGATCACTAGACAAGGTTTGCTCAATGGACTTTGCCTCGGAAACAGAACTTTCACTTGTTCTCGCAATGTCAATGTCACTTCTGTTTTGAGCTGTCTCGTTTGGTTCAGGGACCACACCAAGTTGCTCCCAAATGAAAGTGATATGTGATCGATGTGGTTCTATCAAAATGAATTCTGGTCGGTTGTCGTTCACGTTCAGAATAGTGACAACTAAACTTGCCTCGGCAGATAAACGATGTGTGGTTTGCGCAGCTGAGTTTGTCGAGCTGGAATCTGGGGTGGTAATCAGGCGAATTGGAACTTCATTCTCAGCGGTAACCAAGAGAGATATCGAAGAACGAGACTCGCGATCAATTGGTCTGCGTGTTCGCAGAACACCTGTATTTCGATCAATGCTGATCAAATGCAAGTCTTCCGGTCTCCCTCGTAGAATGTAATGCAATTTCCGGTTGACCTCCGTAACATCATGATCTACAGCTTCTACTCGACCGATTTCTGTGCCGCCTGGAGAATTCTCTGGAATCTGTTTTTGATAAAAAGTGAATTAGATGACGCATTATTCGTCAATATTTTATCTAAATAAACATAACTGGTTTGTGTACGCATAAATTGGTATTCAGATAAGTTTGAATAAAACAAGGGACAACTGATTTACAGATAATATAATCAAAACTGAGCTAATTAGATAAACTCAGAAAGATCCGTTTAAAGGAGAAACTGAGGATCATAATTTAGAATTCCTCCATAGAAAAACTAAGACTTCGTTTAATATCAACTATCGGATTGGGACTTAAAGCGGACGTGTTACCCTAAATAAATTGTTTGAAACAGCTGATCTACTCTCCTAGGTTATGGTCAGGTTTCTCAAATGGACATTATTCGAAGGATAAGTTACTCAATAACAAGCAAATATTCATATTTACCTCAAATAAATAATGCGCTGAACTGAACTCCGGTGCATTATCGTTTGAATCTTCTACGGTGACATGAATCAGAGCACTACTGGAACGTGCAACTGGGCTTCCCGAATCACACACAACAAGCATGAGTGTATATTTGCTGCGCGTCTCACAATCCAGGGGAATTACTGTCCAAATGCGTCCGGAGCGTGAGTCTGTGCGAAAGAATAGACTTTCGTTTCGGCTTGGATCTATCGATTCTGTGCCGTTTTGTACATCTAAGAGAGAGAATGTGAGCAAAGCATTAGCACCCAGATCCGCATCGGTAACTCGCATCGGACTTGATAAGTAAACTTCAGCAGATGCCATGTTTTCAGCTACTCGGCCAGAGTAAACTTTACGATCAAACACGGGGCTGTGGTCATTTACGTCGGTGATAGTGACATGTAAACTGGCGTTGCGTGACAACGACTGACTCCCTTCTTCATCAGTGCATGCAATGGTAACCTGAATAAACAGAAAAGAATGTACGGATTCAGGATTAGAATTTTCATAAAAATGAGGCACTTCTTCAGTATTACCACAAAATCAATAGATGGAATGGTACCCTAACTCAACTAAAAATACAGCTTGTTCTGCTCTTCAGTATTCGATATTTTGTTCAAAAAATCCTATATGTGCCACTTGGAGGCTCCGTCCGGCAATTCAATGCACGTCGCAACCACCGGTTTATTGTTGTTGTCTAAAAGAAAGTTATTAATTTGATTGAATGGAAGAGGTTGCTTAAGTACAATGGGCGTTCATTGATGTGATAACTTGTTCCCACCGTGAATGCATATAGATACTGTACCGGTAGTTCCTGTTGACGTTACAAACTTTTATCTAAGCACATATATACAAAATATTTCAAGCGAATTATAAATGCATGAAAATATGAGAAAAGATTATCAGACATAACGAAGCATTAAAACCCTTATTATTTGTGGAATAAGCGTATCACGGTTTACATCATTATGAACTCGTTGATTGAGATATCTTTATCAGCTTCTGTTTACTATTTCAACTTATTGGACTACAGGTTTTTGCATGTCCTTTACTCGAGTCCTCTTTTCATACGGTATAAACATATTGGCTCAACAAGTTAGATTTGTTCTTCGTAGTGCAAATGACTTAGAATCAGAAGAAAAATGAGGTATTCTGCATTCTGATAGACAAAGTGTGCATATGTTCATCTTATAAAAATAGTTTTACCAATATGCACCAGGAACACAAGTGAGTGACAGCGAAACTATGCAGAAGCTTTAATTATGATAGGGGTTTGAGGAAGTTTAAATAGTAGCGCAAGAGATAGGTCGTACGGTTGCATACAGCCATAAAAATTACCAGTAAACTCAGCAAGGTTGTTTCATTATTAATGTGAAGAGCATATACACAATTTATGCTCGCTAATTTCGTGGGAAAATCAACTTCATAAGTGCGTTAGAAACACAATAGTATATGGTAAATGGCTTGTCAATATGATGACAACCTCAGAGACAGGACTCATGATGCGATGATAGACAGAGCGAAACCCCAACAGAGGCGCCAGCAGAGCAAAATTAGTTGAAATCTAAAATGATTAGTGAGCTAAATGGATATATTTGAAAAATCTGTCGCCTCGGTCTAATCCTAATCTTGTCATAAATAGGATGAAATGCCTCGTTGCTTTCGGTGAAAATTAATTTGAATCAATAAATAAATCAGTGTATACACTTATTTATATAAGATTTTCTGATACTTTCGAAAGGTAAACCACAATATAGTCTCGTTATTCAGCATTTTTATCTAACCTTTCATTGTAAACTCCGCTTAGGGGACGAGAACACCGAAAAAGTGGATTGGTTTAAATTATAGAAAGTGAGCAAAAGTTCGTTTATTTTATTCGAATGTTTGGCAGAGAACTTTGTACTGTTTAACTAATTATTGATGGCTAATAAACCTCTAATATGAGGTTGCATGACGAACATATAGAAAATCTTAGATAGGATATCATGACAAAAAATCAAAACGAGTAAGAAAAATCCAATAATAATTGAAACTTTCTAACGAGTAAATTCACTGAATTGACTAAATTCTGATTTTCGAAATTTTCAACGGAGTACTCAAGTTGTTTCCTTAAATACCTTCTCTCAGGGCGAGTAATAATGATGTGAACAATAACTGTAAATATGCTTGATATTTCCCCAATAATATTTGCGTTGGTCATATATGTTACTCTTGCCGTACCGATAATGGCTACTTTGGCATAAGCGTTGATAAACCAACTCTTATCAGATATTAATGCCCCATGTAAAAATCTACAGATGAGGTAAAACACGTATAAAAGATAATCGAAAGCTGTCTCAGATGTTTAGTCTAGACAATAAGCCACTAAGCGGTATGTGATATCGGAAAGATTGTCTAACTTAGATTTATTGCAATATGTTTTCTGTTCGCCATATTGGTGATGTGAAAGCTGTTGTTCTTTTGTCACGTACGAATATATATTTTTTGTCGATCACTGTCGTAACCCTAATTTCATTTGACGTGACATGTTTGTCTTCCCGGTCAAAGAAGTTTTGTGTGGAAAGACATTTCAGTGCAAGGTATGTGCAAAACAAAATGGAACCGATTAAACGACGCCCAGGTAGATATCATAAACATGCTGCGCGACTACGATACCAAAAAGCTGACAGAGATTCCGGTAAGCTAAAAAGTTTTTCGAAGATTATTACGGTAACGTGTGGGTAGAAAGCTACTGTCGATCTCCAACGAGATCCGCAATAACGGGTTAGCTTCCGTCTTTCTATCCACAAACACTGTACAACCGAAAAAATGATTTATTTACAACTTACTGCTTATAACTACTAATCCTAGTCGAACTGGTTGTTCAGAACAGTATGAAGGAATCTGGCTTATTGCTCACATCACAGAACGGTGCCAATTTGCAAGTGAAAAGTTGAAGTGTATAAGAGGAGTCTGATTTATGTTTAATAGTTTCAATAAGTTGATTTTAAGACTTGGTATATCACATTGAGTATTTCATGGCAGCAGACAAGGAGGGTAAAGTGTGCTCAACTTCAGCAAAATACCATTGTCATCAGATTGTTATTTGCTCTTTATCGTTGTTCCAAATTGTAACACGATTTTTAATCATGTATAAAGTGATATTCGTTGATCGACGATGCATTCATACAGTGGTAACTTTGTTGCCTTCCACGAGGGCTGAGAAAAACATATCCCGAGGAACAAAGGGTTTTATTTGTTACACGATATTAAGCAACACGTCCTCGAAGTAATCCAAGCAAGCTACGATGCGAAGTCCCATGAACTCGAACCATTGAGTAGAAGAGCTCGACCATGCTGAAGCGGGTAAACCTTCAACCAGTTCAATGAAGGCCTCCACTGCAGCTGTTGGCGATTCTTACCGGGTTCCATGCATCATGCGTTTGACATTTTGGAACACAAAAGAGTCACAAGGAACCAGGTTTGGTATCCAAGGTCGATGGTCAACCTCCTGGATGTGTTCTGTAGCCAGAAATGTGCCGATGACAGTGCAAAAAGGTCCCTCTGGCTCGAGTCTTTGAAAGAGGCCTGGAAATAGCTACCAGCTTTTTCAGCAGACAATGGGTGGCATACCAGTCTCTGGTGGCTGTACGAGCAGTACATTAGCCACATTACCGATTCTAGCCATAAACACAGCCATAATCTGCTTTTCCACAAGGCGTTTGAGTTTGAATTCTTGAAGAGTCGCCCCTTCAACCGGTGTCCACTGAACCGATTTTTGTTGGATTCTTATATGGAAATTGCACATTCAAGTCTCATCACCATTGATGATCCCCCTAACCGCATTGGAACGTTCAACTTCGAACCTAGAATGCATGGTGCAGTATTAGGTCACTCGAATTGCGTTCTGTTCGTCATTCAGGTAATGGGGTACCCAGCGTGCGCAAACCTAACTGAGGCCGGGCTTCTCAATTAGGATGATGAGGATTTATCCTGATGAGATCACCAAAACCTTCTCAAGATGTGCTGCTGTCACCCGCACATCCTCCGCCATCACCGCTCACACAGTAGCAATTTTGTTCGCCTCGGTGGACTCCATATTTCAAACAAATTGCGTGTCATCACCCAGGCACCGCCTGTCGCGCTTAAATTTCGCCAACAACTCAAACACAGTGTATTTTAAAGACGGTTTATCAAAAGAAGCAGCTCATAAACGATCATCAATCTGCTGCTGATTAAAACTATATTTGCGGTAGTAGACAATCTATCGCCTTTGAATGACATCGACTGAGTTCCATCCTTAGAGTCCGGATATGGCGACCCTTATTACTTGTGAGCTGTGCTCAGCTGTTGAAATTTGGTCCTGTGTGTGAGTTGCAATCAATGAACAATTACAATTTACCTTCTCCTTGCCCAGTAATCTTCACCTTTTACATGTACTGCGTATCGGGTAACATTTTTCTCAGCTCCATAGGGCGCCTACAATAACATTTTGTAGGTAAGATCACCGCATCGTCTTGGTTATTCGATAGGAAGAGGCGGATGCTGTAAAAATAACAATCTAAGCTATTTGATGAAAGAAATATGAAAAAATAACCTCAAGGTCAAATGCGTTAGTATTGATTTGTGAAATGGATAGATAATGATCTCAACTAGCTTACTTCATGATCAGTTCCAGGAATGAAATAACCCATTTCGGATGGTAATCTGCCGAAGCACTTATTGTTTGGCTTACACCGTGCAACTGAACAGACAAATCACAGTGTGGTCAACTTTTTCCAGTGTTCAACTGTTTAGAAAGTTTAGATGCATATTGAAAATCTGTAACTGACCCTGAATGCACAAGCGGTTTCTACTGATGTCCTGGATTTGGCTTCATTGCCCCTGGGAAAACCACTACAGGTTTTATACCAAAACCTAACCGTCAACCTTAGTTTAATCAGAAACAATTTCAAGCTGTCTCCTTCCACCACTGCTATTCTTACTTGTAAATAAATATAACTGTACCGGTACTAAAAATGGCTGATGAAATAGTTTCTACCGGGATTAGAGGTTCTTGTTTTTAAATAGCCCAGTTTAGGACTTTGAAATTACTTATTCCAACAAATGATATTTTCACATTTTTCACAAGCATAATTATTTCTTGCGCCCTGAGCACAAAGTGAGAAACACCGACAGAAAAAATAAACGCACGGTTATCTGAGCATTTCTCGTGAACCCAAATCTCTTGAGGTTGCGGCAGTAGAAGTGTAAAAGGTACTCAAAGCTTTAGTTGACCATTTGATTTCCAATTTCTAGCTGAAGCGTTGGTTTTACGTCGTAGATGAAAGGGCAAAAGAGGGCCACATGTCATCGAAAACTAAAGGATCGAGAGGGGATTCTGGCACGATTTTGAGCGGAAGCAGACAATGGACATTCACTAATTGCTTTCTGAAAGATTTTAGAAAAAAACGAATATTTTTTCCTTCCTTGCTAAAAATTAG